CAGGAATGAGTTCATTCTTTGATGCTTCTCCTTGTTTAGAGACCCTAAAGGCGAGAACAATCTGGATTAGCTCTCCAGGTGGTGACAAACGTTTAATGAGTTAACAGACCCTAAGGCAGTCATGGGGTGCCTGGGTCCAGACAATTTTGATACAGGTGTTGTTCTCATCAGACATGTGGCTTGAGCCTCTTGAGAACTACCCCCTGCTTTGAGAAGTTGTTTGCTGTTTTGTGAGCCCTGTGTCCTGCCTGTAGCCCGGGGAGCCCTGGAGGCGGGAACCCATGGAGCTCCTCTGTAATTCTTGGTGAATCCCTTTTCTTCAAAGGTGGTGATGTTGATGAGGTGATGAGGCAGGGCTGTCCTTTCCTGGCTGCTCAGGGAGCCTCGTTGTATGAGTAGCAGTGAGACCACTCTACCTAAATCAGAAAAGCATGATCTCAAGACTCAACCATAGAATTCCCTGTTTTAATCCCAGTTTGGCCGTTGATTCACTCACTGTGTCCTTTATATGTCATTTACAGGTGTATAAATGATAATATCTTTTGAATCAAAAGGGTATAATACAATTTATTTCCAGTCATTTACTTGAAATAAGGTAGGACCTACTGGGGAGAACTAACATACCACTTAGTAGTGTGTGACCTCGGGCAAGTTACTTAAGCTCCCCGTGCTTGGTTTCCTCAGCCATAAAGGGAGATGGTAAATTGCACTGACTGGAGAGAGTGGTTATGAGGCTCTAGTGAGAGCACCCATGTGGAGGACTTAGCCTGTAGCCTGACAGAGAGTAAATACTCAGTACATGTTAGCCATCATTATGTTGAATCCAAGAGAATCTGTAACTCACTCCAAAACTCAATTGCAACATCAGAAGATAAGTATTAGAGCTCAAAGTCTAGGACATTCTCCAAGCTTTGTTTTCTTTGAACCACAAAAGTATTGCCTTTAACTCTTCCCTTGGAGAAGATAGCTACCCAGACATAATTTTTGTCTCTGGGTACAAGTTTTCCTGGGTGATCCGTGCTGTCAGAACTGTAGAAATTACGAGTGGATTTTTTTTCTCTTTTAAAGTTTACTGTCTTCTATTTTTTGTAGGATTGTGAAAATATTGACTATTGTAAAATATTTGGAAAGTATCGGAACACGTAAATAAGATAACAGTATCCATTATTCCATGACTCTAAGATAATCACCATTTAATATTTTTGCTAATTTCTCCCCCCCTTGGACAGTTTTTAACAGAAATGTGACCACATTATGGGTATGTGGTTTTCACTTAGTATCGTTTCTGAAGCATTGTTCACCATCACAGCAAAATGGTTCATGGCATGTGCTGTGGGGTCAGACTATCTGGGTTCAAATTCCAGTTTCCCTGCTGAGAACTGTATGACCTGAATGAGTTACTTAATGCCTCTCGGCTTGTTTCTCCACCTCTATATGGAAATAAGAACAGTCTTAGTCTTGTAAGATTATTATGAGGATTAAGTGAATTAATGGATATAAAGATCCAGGAAAGCACCCGGCACATAATAAGTATTTTTAAATGTTCAATAATAATATTAATTTTCTTATGTCATTTAAAACTTTGTAAACAAAATTTTTAATTTGCTGCATACTTCCATCATCTTCAATCTTAGATAACAAACATTTTTTTCAAAAAAAATTTAAATACATGGTATTGTTAAAAAAAACATCTTTGTGCATAAGGCTTGTCCCCCTATTCTGGATTGTTTTCTTGGGAGAAATAAATTCTCTGAAGTGAGTTTGCTGGTTAAAAAAAAAAAAATTTATGATTGTTTTTAAGGCATTGCCGTGTCCTTCTTGAAAGTTTGAACTGCCTTACATCCCCATTCTGCTATTATTTTAGCCCTCTAGCCATCCTGTTGTCTTTCAGAGTTGTTTTCCACATACCTTCTGTATTAGTTATTTGTTGCCACAGAACAGGTTACCCCAAACTTAGCAGCTTCAAACAACAAATGTTTATTATCCCAGTTTCTGTGGGTTGGGAGCAACTTATCTGGGGACCTGTAGCTCGAGTCTGTCATGAGGTTGCAGTCAAGACGTCAGCCAGGGCTCTAGAAGGCCTGACTGGGATCGGAGGACGCACTTTCAAGACGGCTCAGTCGCATGCACGGCATTGGCAGGACGCACGGCATTGGCAGGACGCACAGCATTGGCAGGACCGTGAGTTCCTTGCCACAGGGCCTCTCCATAGGTCCTTGGATGTCCTCGTGACACAGCGGCTGCCTTCCCCCAGAGCAAGACCAGAGAGAGAGGGAGGAGGGAGAGGGAGGGACAGGGCAGGAGAAGTTGGGGGAGGAAGGTTAGAAGAAGAGGAAGCAAACAGAAGCTGCAGTGTCTTTATGACCAAGCCTTGTAAGTCGCACTCCTTCGTTTCTACACCGTCCTATTAGTCCTACTGATCAGCCCTCCGTAACGTGCACGAAGACGATGCGGAGGCAGAGGTGTGAACACCAGCAGGTGAAGATTACTGAGGCCCCTTTGGGAGCGAACTGCCACGCTGACTATAGAACGTTTACTTTCATTTTATTGTCCATCTTCCCCTTCCCTGTAAGACAGGATAATATAAGACAGACTTTGTCATTGGTTTTTTCTTGAAAGGACAGATAAGCCACAAAGCTTGATGGTCTTCATCTTCCACAAACCTGTATAAACTATGTAATGAGAACTAAGCTACTTTCTTAATTTCATAACAGATATCAGAAGCCAATGGCAACTGTCTTAACTTCTATTCTCATTAAAGTTAGGGATGTTTCTGTTATCCAGTTTTTTAGCCTTATTTGGAGGTTCCAGTCAATGTGGTAAATATGAAAAGGAAGTAAGAGGCATAAATATTAGAAAAGAAGAACTGAATCTTGTTATTTGAAAATGATTGTTTACCTGAAAATCCAAATTAAAATGCCTAAAAATGTGTCAGAATTAATAAGGTGAAGATTAGTAATGTTCTTTTTTTTTTTTAGTAAGATAAACATAAAAATGTATATCCAGTGATAAGCCGTTAACTGATGTCCTGGGAGGAATGTAGAGTGTAGAGCCTTGCAGGTGTGCTCGGCCAGGGAGCTGAATTCAGTATGGAAAAGGCAAGAAGGCTCTGGTCAGAAGTGTGCCCAGTGCAACACCATCAAGAAGGGCAGTGAGCACAGAATGCACCACACGTGTGTGGGCTGTTGGTTGCAAGCCAGATCAGACCCCCGTGTTCCTCTTGTGGCTACCAGGGGAAGAAAGGCATTTCCTCAGGAGAGGACACAGTGATGGGGTGGGTATATGCACAGAAGCCCCGGAAGTAGTTCCCAGGGCCAGAGTGATCTTTGTTGTCGTTAAGAGAAAGGAGAAAAGCTGATCTCAAAATAAGCTGTGAGGAACAGTAATTGACTTAACTAACTTACTTATTATAAGAAATGTCTTAATGCTATTTTTATGTTATATAAAATACACATTTCAGTATAAAATATTTTTATATTTCAATTTATCTCTTACACAGGATACGTATATTTTTTGTTGAACAATACTATTATACATAAGATGGATCTGGGTTCAGTGAACATGATTTTACCTTTTATGTTTTGACAGGAATTTCAGTTATTCAGTATTACCTTACTCTCTCCAAAAATTTGATTTGATTTAAAGTTAGATTGCTTTAGTAATATACAGCTTTTTAACAGGTGGTTGTTAGTATCTTAAACCGTAGAGAATATTAAATTTTTTTAGGTCTACGTATCTAGTGATAAACTGGGAAGATCTTTAGATACTGGGAACATCTCCATTAATTCACAGGATCGAGTTAAGACCAACAGATATTTGAATTTATGTTCATTAGCCAAAGTGCCTCATGTGTCAGAAGGTGAGGGTTGAAGCAAGGGGCCTGAAATTAAGGAATCAAATTCTGACTCACTCTAATTAAGTGTTACTTTTTTGATTAATGAAGGGCATTTCAGTATGGTTTATGGATAATATCAAATGAAGGATATCTAATACTTCTCAGATGTTATAGAGTGACCACTCATCCCAGATGATCTTGTCAGAGTGGTGAGGTAGAGGAACAAGTCAGACTGCAGTGATGGTCGTGTGATCTTGTCTTTGAATTAATTAGCTTTGAATTAATTAGCTTTAGACTAAGTAGTAATTCAGGAATATCTTTGAAAGAGTTGTGTGTGTGACTGATCATGATGCTTTTACAAATGTATTAGAAGAATTAAGTTAGGAGAAAAGTACCATTGGCACATAATTATATAAAATGTAACAATTTTTTAATTATGTGGACATAAAGCTTAAGATAATTTAAAAGCA